GGGCGCTGGGGCTGCCAGGAGCCCCTCGCGTCCGCACCGGCCTCGGCCCCGCGCCCGCCGCCCCTCGGGCTCGCGCCCCCGCCCCGGCTCGGGAGAGCCGCACCCCCACCCCCGAGGCCGCCCCGCGACGCGCCGCCCGGGAATTCACCGGGCGTCTCCACGGCAACAGCCTGTCCGCCCAGACCCCCGCGCCGGCCCGCCGGTCGCGCGCCTGACAACAAGGCGCACGCCCATTGGCTGCGCTGCCGGCTCAGCCAGCCAATCCACGAGGGCGCACGCGCCGCGCGCCTGCCCGCGGCTGGTTAAAAGCCCCGGGCGCTCGGTGGTGGCCGGTCCTGAGCCCCGGCCTCGGCTTCGGTTCTCGGGTGTTTGGGGCCTGGAGCGCCAGCCCGCGGCGGGACCTCGGCCCCAGCACTTGCAAATACCTGCGAGGCGCCGAGCTCCGCGCCTGGCCCCAGCGGCCGCTAAGTGACGGGAGGTGCCATTCCTACAACCTGGGGCAGGAGTTCTGAAGGCAACCGAGCCCGGCCGGTGTGGCTCAGTGGTGGATCATGGACCTATGAACCAGGAGGTCACGGTTCCATTCCCGGTCCCGGTAGGGGGTGTGCATGAGGCAGTGGATCCGTGATTTTCTCATCGTTGATGTTTCTCTCCCCCTCTCCCTTCCTCTCGGAAATATATATATTTTTAAAATGAAGGCAACAGAAATCTGGAACACTTAAGAACGAACAAGGGGAGGAAGAGCATTCCCCTTACCTGTCATCTCTTCTGAAAAGGAGTGGAAGCCCCAAAAATAGATACAACCAACCATTGAAACAAGGAAAAAAGAAACCAAGATCTGGTGAATGAGCAGCCAGGGAGGGGTCCACAGGATTTCAGAGCCCAAAAGAGGGTCCAGGTGGGAGGGCGTCTGACCAGGTCTCGGGCTGAGAGAGGGTCCTCTCTGGGGAGCTGAGTGTTTGGGGGGAGGGCTTCACACTGGCTGAAATGCACAGCTCCTGAGTCCGAGATTTACTTACATAGGAGTGAACGGTAGGCTTTCTCTTTGACACCCAAAGACAGTCAAATCATGAAGAATTCAGGCACTTCAGTACAATAGTGTTACTGATATCCAGGATTTACAAAAATAATGAAGTCACTAACCTTTTATAAATTTTCTTTATTGATTTTAGAGAGAGAAGGCAGAGAGAAACATCCCTTTGTTGTTCCACTTATTTATGCATTGTTTTTTTAATTTTTTTTATTTTTATTAATTTAAGAGAGGAAGGAAGAGGGAGAGAGAAACAATGATGAGAGAGAATTCATTGATTGGCTGCCTCCTGCACACCCCCCACTGGGGATCGAGCCAGCAACCTGGGCATCTGCCCTTGACCGGAATCGAACCTGGGACCCTTTATTTAGTCTGTAGGTCAATGCTCTATCCACTGAGCCAAACCGATAGGGCTAAGCATGCTTGCTGGAGAAGGGGGAGGAGCCAGTCCCACCCTCCCACACCCCCTGCAGAAAACAGGTGACATCACTCTGACCAGAGTGGTGCTAAGAGATTTAAGGTGGAGAGGCCAGATAGGAGGCTGCTGTTACAGCCTTAGGTCCTGACAAGAGTTAGGCCTGAATCCCTCCTTGGGCACTTCACTCATTCATTCACACTCAACCTATGTTCCCTGAACCATCTGGGAAGCAAGACACCCGTGTAGGTAGAAGGAATGAGAACAGAAACGGGCAGGTTGCCAAGGGAAGGAACTCCAAGCTCTTTATATATATATATAAAGTTGATTTCAGAGAGGAAGGGGGAGGGGAGAGAGAGAAGTATCAATGATGAGAATCATTGATCGGCTGCCTCCTGCACACCCCCTACTGGGGATGAGCCTGCAACCAGGCATGTGCCCTTGACCGGAATGGACCCTTCAGTCCCCAGGCCAATGCTCTACCCACTGAGCCAAATAGCTAGGGCCCATCTTCCAATTTGAGCAGCCTAAGTACAACCCATGAAACAGCAACCCTGAAGGTAGGAGCCACCCCACCTCATAAGCCACCCCCACTGCCCGGATGAACAGGATGCCTTGGTCAGGAAAGGAAGCCATGTTTGAAAGACGAAGCTCTCTTCATTTATTTGGCTGAGGATGGGGGAGAAGAGGACTGTGAGGTCACAGGCGTATCTGCAGGTGGGGGTGCCGGAAGCCGGTATCCACCAGGCCCTCCCTCTGCCAGGAGCCCTCTCCGGAAGAGGCGGCTGCTCACAGATGCCCTGGATGTACTCTGTGCCGATCACAAAAAGGTCATAACCGTCCCTTTCTTGCCAATCTGCCAGGGCTCCAGGGGGAAAAAGCGGATAAGTATCCTTCAGGGACAGAGGAAAAAGATGTCATCAGCTCCCTGGCCAAGGCCTCATATTCTAAGACCCCCTTCGCCAGACATTCATTCCCACCACGGGGTCCCCCGCCAGGCTGCCCTGGCCCACCAGGTGATGCTGCGAGCTGGCTCGCCCCCTTATGTTCTCCTTCCAACAGGGCGGTCGGCATGTCAGGGGCGGGATCCCGGTGGCTGCAGGGCGGTGTGGCTCACCCAGAACTACACTCACTGCCAGAACTTCCTTCAGTTCCCTTAACACCCCAAAGGTGAGCCCCCCGGACCCCCAGGCGCTACACCTTTCTGGGCAAGGTGAGGCATTTGCTTGCCCCCCACCCCCTTTAGGAGAGACCCTGACGTGGGTCACAGCCCCCCCCCCCCCCCGGGTGGCGCAGCAGCCCCGGGCGTGTCCGCTCCCGGCCCCGACGCACCGGTCCTGGCCCAGCTGCAGCTCCTTAGTGAGGAACTCGAAGAACCGGGCGCTGTGGTCCCGGTTCTGCTCCGCCGTGCCCACTACTCCGATGGAGGAGACCGTCAGCTGCGCGCAGGGATCGGCCAAGCCGCCCACCGCCATGGCCAGGCCGGGCCGCACCGTTACGCTCACGCGCTGCGGGGACACAGGGTTTCTCCTGGAGCCGGCGCGGGCCAGGCTCGCGCCGAGGATCCCGCGGGGTCAGGGCTGGGGGGCGGGAGGGGGGCGCGCGCGAGGTGGTGGAGAGCGAGAAGTCGGCGCTCCGTGGGCGGCCCTGGGAGGCGAGTCCCTATGGGGGAGTCGGGGCGTGGACCGAGCGCGCCCCCAGCCCCGGGGAGCTCCCGGCCCACGCTCACGTCCTCGGGTTTGCCCAGGATGGCGGCGGTGGCTGCGCAGAGCCGCTTCTCCAGCCCCGCGGGCACGCGGGCAGCGGGCAGGTTGGTGTCCAGCTCCACGAAGGGCATGTCGGGCGGGAGGACTGCGCGGCGCCGGCGGAGACGGGCTTAGCAGCCCGCGGCGTGGCCCCTAGACCCCGACTAGGAGGCGGGGCGGGGCGCGGGAAGCGGGCTCCTCATTGGCTCTGCGGGCACGCAGCGCCTCCCGATTGGCTGCCTAGGCTGCACCTCCCGCCTCAGCAGAAAACCTTGGTGGACTCTGACCCAGATTTCCGGAAGTCCTTTTTTAAAATATTTTTTAAAAATATATTTGTCCTGTTGATTTCAGAGAGGAAGGGAGAGAGAAACATCAATGATGAGAATCATGGATCGGCTGCCTCCTGCACGCCCCGCACTGGGGATGGAGCCCACAACCCGGGCGTGTGCCCCGACCCGGAGTCCAACTGTGACCTCCGGGTGCCAGGTGGAGGGTCATCCACTGAGCCAAGCAGGCTGGGCTGGGAGGTCGTATTGTCCGGCCCTCCCCCCCGGTGTCACCCCACTTTGTCATTGGCAGAACCATGGCCCCGCCCACCGCCCCAGCCCCGCCCCCGCTCCAGCCACACTGGCCTCCTCTCCGCTTCCGGTGGTTTTCCAGAGCTGCGGTTCTGCGCTCTCTCCATTTACTAGTAGATGGAGGGCTGTACACCCCCCCCCCACCCACCCCCCTACACACACACCTGTAGGGGCCTTCCCCAGGATCAACCCTGGTAATGTTACTTCCTCATAGAGAATTTGAAATTTTTTTAATGCATTGCCACCGCTTCAAAGTTAGGCAACTTCACGTTTGGTGTGAGAAGCTGCACTGCACTTGATCAGGAGACCTGGTGACACCCGTGGGTGACACGTGGGGCTGGGCAAGGAGGCTCAGGTTCGGGGAATCCCTGCCCGCCCGGACATCTGTCAGTGTGTCCAGCAGGGGATGGGAGCCAGGTCGCAGGAGAATTACCAGCAACGTTTGTGGTACCTTATTCTTCTTAATTCTCACTCGGCTACATGCTTTTTTAGAGAGAAATATCAGCGTGAGAGGGAAACATTGGTTGCCTCCCGCACGCACCTGACCAGGAATGGGACCCACAATCTGGGCATGTGCCCTGACCAGGAATGGGACCCACAATCTGGGCATGTGCCCTGACCAGGAATGGGACCCACAATCTGGGCATGTGCCCTGACCAGGAATGGGACCCACAATCTGGGCATGTGCCCTGACCAGGAATGGAACCCAGGACAAAGCTCTGAGCTACACTGGCCAGGGCTACGACACCTCATGTTTTTATAGGCAAAACAAAGGGTGTTACCTAAACCATGGAAATCTGTCGGTGTGACTGACCATGGTGCTGTCATCAGTGTTTCGAAGCTGTTTGAATTGTAGATGAAAATATAAGTGAGCCTAGCCTGACTGATGTGGCTCAGGGGCTGAGCGTCGATTTATGAACCAGGAGGTCAGGGTTCGATTCCCCGTCAGGGCACAGGCACAGGTTGCCGGCTCGATCCCCAGTGGGGCGCGTGCAGGAGGCAGCCGATCCATGATTCTCTCTCATCATCGATGTTTCTCTCTCTCCCTCTCCCTTCGTCTCTGCAATCAGTAAAAATATATATTTTAAAAATAATAAATAAAGCTCATTCCAGAGGTCTCCCGCCAGTTGGAGTGGAAGGGGCAAGCGTGGAGTAAGTAGACAGACAAGAGGAGCGTGGGCTTGATGCTGGAGGGATCTCGAGGACAGAGACTGTGCGGGTGCCTTGCTCAGGCCAAGGAGAGGGGCAGCTCCATCTCTTTATTTTGACACCAGTCTCCACATCGGCTGCAGGCCCGCCCCTTCTCACTACAACAAAACCTGCACCAAGGGCTTCAGCTTGTCCTTCATGGCAGTGTCCACTGGCGGCAGGTCCTTGGCCTTCATGACCACCTCGTGGGCCTCCTGGAAGAGGTCCTCCCCGACCGCTGCCTCCACGCGCTGGCGCCAGGCCGCCAGCTTGGGGCGGGTTTTGAAGACGTGGCAGCCGGCGCTGACAGGCTGAGGGGAGAGGGAGTAACATGCCCTGGGTCAGCAGCCAGGAAGGGCAGCGTGAGCTGGTACACTGGCTCCCTCCCGGGCACCCCACGCCCCATGGGCCACGCCCCCCCCGGGGCACTCACGTGCATCAGCTCTGTGATGGCCACCAAGTCAGCCACGGAGATGCAGGGCCCCGTGAGGAAGTTGTCGTCCTTCAGGAACTTGTCCTCAAGCAGCTGCAGGCACCTGTCCAGCTCGGCCAGAGTAGATGCCAAGGTCTCGGGGGGCACCCGTTCGCCAAGGAACACAGGGAGCATCATCTGGTGGGGGGCAGGCAGGAGCGGGCTGAGGTTCCGCCCAAAGCCCAGCCTAGCTTCTCCTTGCTCCCGCCCGTCCCTTTCCACCCACAGCCACCACCACCGGCCCAGGCCTCATCCCCCCCTCACACAGGGCCAGCCTCCACCCTCCCTAGATGCTCACAAGGCCGCTGGGAGAGCCCTCTGCAATCTCAGGCTGCCCGTCCCTTCTAGCTGCAGCAAGCCTTCCGGGGCCCCACTGTCCTCCCACAAAGGCCTCACCACCAGCCCCACTGGTGCAGCTGCCACCCACTCCCCCACCCTCCACCTCCCACCCCACCCAGACTTCTCACAGGGGCATGCGCCTGGGACTCGCTCTGGAATATGGTTCCAGAGCCCATTCCTGCGTCGTGTGCTTGGGTGGGGCCTGAGACTCGGCATGTCCATGAGCTCCCAGGGGCCGCTGACGCTCCTGGTCTGCGGACCAGCCTTTTGGGGAGCAAAGATCTACACTCGCTCTACTTGACTTCTCTCTGTTCTGCACGGAGAGGCTCCTGCCCCCTCCAGCTTGAGTGGGCTCCTCGCCAGCCCCTAGCAGTTCAAGGAGGACTCTTAATGATATCTTTACTGATTTCAGAGAGGAGGGGAGAGGAAAAGGATAGAAACATCAATGATGAGAATCATCAACTGCCTCCTGCACGCCCCACACTGGGGATGGAGCCCAAAACCCAGGCATGTGCCCTGACGGGGAATCGAACCATGACCTCCTGGTTCCTAGGTAGACGTTTAACCGCTGAGCCACGCTGGCCGGGCTGAACAGAATGTTTTAAACAGAAGGCGCCATCCCCTGAGGACCCAGGCAGGGTCCCTGCCCCCAGGCTCACCTTCTGCCACATGACCAGGGAGCAGCTGCTCCGCAGAGCCGTGTGCTGCCATGCCAAGTACTCGTCCACACGGGCGCAGGCTTCCAGGTCCTGGGGGTACCAGTGGTCAGGGGCCTCATACTTCCGGCTAAGATACAGCAGGATGGCCACACTGGGAGGGACAGCAGGGGCGGGGAGAGGTCCCAGTCACTTCTCAGCTACTCTCCAGGGGCCAGGCCCTGGGTGGGATAGGCCTCGGCTCCTGGCATGTGTGTCCCCATGTGGGCGACGCGTTTCACCATCTCCAGGTGCAGAGTAGGAGTGTGAGGCTCAGAGAGGTTAGGGGATTTCCCCAAGGTCACACAGCGCTATGCTGAGCTATCCTATCATCTGAACTAAGGGCACAAAGTAAAAAAACAAAAACGTTACGGGATTTCAGAAGAGGGGTGTGTGCTCAGAGAAAGCTCCCTCAAAAAAGGAGGCACCCAGATGGGCCCTGAGAGTGAGAGCCACTCACCCAGCACCCAGCACCCAGTACCACTCCCCAGCTTAGTCAAAGCATGGACACAACAGGAGCAATGCCAGGTGCCCCTCCCAGCCCTGGCATCTCCGCCCACTTCAAGCCACTCTCCATCCTGGGGCGGGCACAGCTGCTCACGGAACATAAACCATGTCCCAAGTGGGCACACAGGGGGCCAGCCCCCCAAGACCATGCAGCAGTTCAGGGGCCATTACCTCTCGGCCAGGGTGAAGTCCCCATCCTTCAAGGCTGGCACCTTCCTCAGGGGGTTCACCTGGGCAAAGTCATCGCTGTTGTGCTGACCTACAGGAGAGAGCAGTGAGGCAGGGGGGAGCCTGAACCCTCCGAGGTCTCTGGCCACGCCCACCCAGCAGCCAGAATCTTTCTTGTTTTTAAATATTTTTTTATTGATTTCAGAGAAGAAGGGAGAGAGAAAGAAACATCAATGATGAGAGAGAATCATCGACCAGCTGCCTCCTGCACGACTCCCACTGGGGATGGAGCCCACAACCCCGGCATGTGCCTCGACCAGGAACTGAACGGTGACCTCCTGGTTCATAGGTCGATGCTCAACCACTGAGCCACACTGGCCGGACCATCCAGGATCTTTCTGAGGCCCCTATCCACTCCTGTGTCACCTGCTTGTACCTGGGCCAAGCAGCACCGTGGCTCGGCCCCGGGAGAAAGATGACACACATCCCTGTAGCCAGCCGATTCCATCCACGTCAGGCACTGCGGCCTGCCCCCCCGCGATCCCCCTGCCTATGCAGGCCACGTGAACTGTGCAGAGCCCCGAGCGGGGCCATACCTGTTTCCAGCCCTCAGCCGGTCCTTGGTCCCACCAGGGCCCCTGACCCCGTCACCCAGCCTCCCGCAGCTCAGCTCTTCTTGCTTTCCTGAGCCAGACGCCCAAGGCTCCCTCCCCAGTGGGGGTTCCCAGGCCTGACTCGATGCTGCATGCCCCCCCTCCCCCGGGCCCTGCCAGTGCTGAAGCTACAGCAGTACAGGGGCGTGGAGTCAGGGCCCCGTGCCCTTCTCCTGAGTGGACAGGATCGCTCCGACCCAGGCTCCCTCCAGAAACCGCCTGTGTGCCCAGCCCGGGAAGGGCTGCAAAGGCAGAGCAGGGTGGCAGCGTAGCAGGCCGGGGGCACCAAAGACGAAAGGTGGGCAGGCGCAGCCCAGCAGGGGCCTCCCTCGGGGCCTGCCCAGGGGGCTCTGGATCTGGAGCTTGCCCTACTGTCCCGGTCCAGTCCCGCCCCCTCCGCCGGATTCTGTAAATGTGGAGGGGAGACCCGCAGGGGTGGGGAGGAGCAAAGAAGAGACCAGATGGGGTAGAACCGCCCTCTCCTCCCAGCAGATGCAGAAACTCGGAGGTGGGGCATAAAGGAGGAAGCAGTTGTCTGCTCCACCTCGGGGTGTGGAGGTCCAGGGGCACTCACTCCACTTCCCCACCCCCACCCCAAACCCTATGATCTCTACCTGCCTCGCTCCCTCTTAACCTATATTTTAAAGAATATTTCGTTTTCGCTAGACAAAGGTCGAGGCTCTTTAAAAAGACACAACTGATGCTGGGCCTACGTGGCTCAGTGGTGGAGCATCCGGCTGTGAACCGGGAGGTCAGGGTTCGATTCCTGGTCAGGGCACATGCCCAGGTTGCAGGCTCGATCCCCAGCGCGGGGCGTGCAGGAGGCAGCCGATCCATGATTCTCTCCTCATTGATGTTTCTCTCTCTCTCCCTTCCTCTCTCAAATCAATAAAAAAAGATGTATTTTTAAAAATACACAACTGATAACCGGTGCGACATTTCTGCGCTGCAGAGTCTGTCTGCCCGTCTGTCCGCACCCCGCCCTGCGCCCCGCCCACCTTTGAGCACCTCCACGGTGCGCAGCTCGAAGGGGACGCCGATCTTCTTGGCGAAGATGTAGACGGCGCGGCAGGGCTGGCACAGCAGGTCCAGGTAGAGCTCCAGGCCCATGAAGAGGGAGGCAGGCCGACCAACGAGAGGGAGGCGGACCCGGGGAACCCAACCAGGACGCGAACCGCCGGCTGCAACCGCCGGACGCACGGGAGCCCGCGCGCACCCCGGCCCGAGCCCGCCGAGCCCTCCTCGCCTATTGGGTGGCTCGGGTAACTGCGGGCCAATCAGCGGCGCCCGCACCTCCCACCTTCTCCCTGGGAGGGGGGGGTCTGAGCTGGGGTTTGGGGCCAGGTCACCCCCCTTCCCTGGACATCAGCGTCTTCCTTTGTCCAATGGACAGGGGGGATGATAATGGGAAACAGACGGGAAAGGCGCCCCAGCCCTGACCCGGACCTAGGGAGGAGGCTGAGAGAGGAAGGGAGCCCGAGCCACTGAGAACACTAGGGAGGAGAGAAAGGGGGTGCGCCGTGCCAGGGGGGAGGCTGGGGCGCCTGGATCTGCTCTCTGCAGAGACCTAACCCGCATTCCTCACACTCTGGTTCATCCCTCCCAGAGAGCAGAAGTCCTGTAGGTTCACGTAAGCCTTGCAGGGCCCTGGACCTTCCCCACTGTGACCCTGGAGCTCCTCAGGCCCGTGGCTGTAATGCCCGCCCGGGTTAAGAAGGCTCTGCCCGGCCCGGCTGGCATGGCTCAGTGGTTGAGCCTCGACCTGTGAACCAGGAGGTCACAGTTCGAATCCCCATCAGGGCACAGGCCCAGGTTGAGGGCTCGATCCTCAGTGGAGTGTGTGCAGCGGGCAGCCGATCGATGAGTCTCTCTCATCATTGATGTTTCTCTCTCTCCCTCTCCCTTCCTCTCTGAAATCAATAAAAATATATATTTGGGGGGGGAAGGGAGAGGAGGGGAGGGGAAAGGACTCTGCCCCCAAACCCAAGAAAGCCACTTGACAAGAGGATCAGTCACTGGAAAATTTGAGAATAGCTTGGCCTCCCTGGTCCCCCATGCTCCCCAGTTAAGGAAGCCCTTCAGGCTGGAAGGAGCCTGTCCCGCACCCCTATCCAGGGGTCTGCCCCCCGCCCCCTCCCACCACCACCAGTCACCTTTGACTGGGTCGCTGCAATATCCAATCTCCCTGCCTCCTCCCTGGCCACCCTCCAGTCCAACCCCCCCAGCTGCCAGAATATTCTTCTGAAATACAACCTGAGCACACCATTCCTGCTCACGGCTCACAGGGCCTCGCTGTGGCAGTGAAGGCTCTGAGTGACCAAGTCCTGACCACGTAACGGAGGGAAATGCTCAGTGTCTCTCGGACTCCATCTTGTTCCAGCCCGCCTTGCTCCCACGCCCTGCAGGCTAACACTTTCTGCTCAGTCTTGCATGTAGACATGCTATCCTTAGAGGAATTCTGCCTGAGGTTTGAGTTCTGCAAAGACAGCTCCTCCCATTTCCCCTCTTCTGGACATAAAAGCAGCCTGAACTCTGTGCTTGGGTGAGATGGACTCCAGGAACCACTCAGGCTCCCCTGTTCTCAGCTGGCGCCTTTCCTTAACTCCAAACTTGAACCCATTTTGAGTTTTGGCCTTTTGAGGCACATGAACTTTGGACCCGTAACAACCAGGCGGGTTGCCATTCAGATTTTCCCCTCCCCTGACCGATTCCTCAGGGCAGATGCAGGGCTCATGACTTACAATATTTGGTGCCAAAGGACAATGTCCTGGGAGGCCGGCCCAGCCAACTGGTCTACCAGCATGCCTACAGCCAACACATGGGGGATGATTGCTGACCCCTATGCTTGCTGGTAAATTACTTCCCCTGGGAATTAGAAGGCCAGAGGGCTGTTGTTCATTTCACTCTTGGCAACCAGCAGGGAGAAGCTGACCCACAGGGCCTACAAAAGAGGGTTATCTTTTGGACAAAGACCAAGACCAGGGCCCAAGAAAGGTCGGATAAATCACACAACAGCGTTAGAAGTGGAGGCTCAGGCTAAGCCCAGGTTTATTTACCAAACTGCAAAGGAAATTAGTGACTAAAGGAGACAAGGACTGCGTGGGCTATTCTTCTCTAACGCTTTTCAGGTCGCAATGGAAGAGGGGGTGGGGCTAGGGACCTGGCCTGGGGAGCAATGGGACTCAGGCAAGTCACTCCTGCTCTCTGGGGTCTCATGAAAGTGTTTTGTGATCTGCCAGGGGGGCGGGGGGGACGCGAGGCTTCCCGGCTCATTGGATCATGGCCAGCACCCTAGGCATCAGCTTCTGCTTTACGGAAGGGTCCGCAGGTGGAAAGCCATTGGCCTTCAGGATGACCTCATGGGCCTCCCGGAAGAGGAGTGACCCCACTGCTGCCTCCACACGCTGGCTCCATGCAGCCAGCTTGGGTCGGCTTTCAAAGATCTGGCAGCCAGCGCCCACGGGCTGTAGGGGAAGCAGGGACAGGGCAGGTTAAGGGCGGACGGGTGAAGCCAAGCAGCACCTGCCTGGTTTCGGGACCACATAGTTCCAGAAGAGGGGACCACAAATAAGCAATGTCCCAGTCCCAGGGTGGGCGGCAGGCGGAGGACTCCAGCGACCCACCCAGCCTAGCGGGCCTGCCCTTCCCACAGCACTCACATGCATCAGCTCCGTGATGGCCACCAGGTCGGCCAGGGAAATGTGGGGCCCCACAAGAAAGGCCTTGTTCTGGAGGAAATTGTCTTCAAATATCTGCAGGGTCGAATCCAACTCTGCCAGGGTGTCTGCCAGGGTCTCGGGAGATACAGGCTCACCCAGGAAAACGGGGAACATTACCTGGTGGGTGGGCAGGCAAAGAGCAGGGAGAGGGGTGGTGGTTAGGGCCAGTCCAGCCTTGGGGGTAGGAAGGCAAGCACCCCCAACCCCCAGTTTTGGAGCTGCTTCCTTGGTTCCATATCCTGGGAAGGCCTGCAGGGAAATTCCCAAAGGACCCCGCTTTCGTGAACTCTTCCTGCTTCCATGAGCTCTGATTGGCTGAGCCTTGGAGGCTTCTCCCAGACTCAAACCCCTTTAAGAATGAATCAAAGGGAACCTGAACATTGTGGAGGGGAGGAGGCTGGCTTAGGAACTACTTATTTCATAGCCTCTTCCCTCCTGATATAAAAGCAATCCCTCTTACAGTAGAAGTAATTAGGAGGATGGGCTTTTTTTTAAAAAAAAAAATTTTTATTGATTTCAGAGAGGAAGAAAGAGGGAGAGAGAGAGAGAAACATCAATGACGAGAGAGAATCACTGATCGGCTGCCTCCCGCACCCCCCGCCCCACTGGGGATCGAGCCTGCAACCCCGGCATGTGCCCTCGACTGGAACCGAACCTGGGACCTTTCAGTCCGCAGGCTGACGCTCTATCCACTGAGCCAAACCAGCTAGGGCAGGAGGATGGGCTTTTAAGGTCTCCACTCTATCACTTACAAACTGCAGAACCTAGAGCAAAACACCCAAACCCTCTGGGCCTCAATTTCCTCAACTATGATATAGGAATAACAGTACATGACTTGCATTGTATATTTAAAAAAAGTGAGGCCCAGCCCTAGCCAGTTTGGCTCAGTGGATAGAGCGTTGGCCTGCAGATTAAAGGGTCCCGGGTTTGATTCAGGTCAGGGCACATGCCCAGGTTGCAGGCTTGATCCCAGTAGGGAGCATGCAGGAGACAGCCGATCAATGACTCTCTCTCATCATTGATGTTTCTCTCTCTCTCTCCCTCTCCCTTCCTCTCTGAAATCAATAATATATATATATATATATATATATATATATATATATATATATATATTAATATATTCGATGGGCTTAACAGCAACCTGAGCACAACAGAAGGAAGAATGAGTGAAGTCAGAGTGGGGTCAGCAGAAACTACCCGAACGGAAAAGGAGAAGGTGACAGTGCCTGAGCCTCTTTGAGGTGGTGCCCTCACTGCCCCTGTCTGGGCCTCACCTTATACCACAGGGTCCGGAGGCAGTTTTTCCGCAGGGTCGTGTGCTGCCATGCCAGGTACTCATCCACGCGGGCACGAGCCTGCAGCTCCTGAGGGTACCAGTGGTCAGGGACCTTGAACTTGCGAGTCAGGTAGAGTAGGATGGCCACACTGCAGGGGAGGGAGAACATGCTGGGTATAGAAAGGGCACTGTGGCCCTAGCCGGTTTGGCTCAGTGGATAGAGCATCATCCTGCAGACTGAAAGGCCCTGGGTTCGATTCCCGGTCAGGGCACATGCCCGGGTTGCGGGCTCCATCCCCAGTAGGGGGTGTGCAGGAGGCAGCCAATCCATGAGTCTCTCTCATGGATGTTTCTGTCTCCCTCTCCTTCTCCCTTCCTCTCTGAAATCAATAAAAATATATTTTAAAAAATAAAATAAGATAAAATAGAGGTTAGGACAAGATGGTCCCAGCGAGGTCTGGGAGCAGCCCCAGGCCCCAGTTACCTCTCTGTCAAGGTGAAGTCGCCATCCTTCAGGGCAGGCACCTTCTTGAGGGGGTTCACCTGGGCAAAGGCATCGCTGAGGTGCTGGCCTGCGGAGAGCGCATCATGGTGGGTGGTCAAAGGAGAATGCGGAGCCCTGTAGGGCCTGTGCCCACTCCCTACAGGATCCTGGCCTCGCGGGAGTTTATCTGAGAGGTTTCTGCTCCTGCAGATGCACCTGTAGAGAAGATTCTGAAGGCACTTAAGTCGCCTGGCCAGTGTGGCTCAGTGGTTGAGCATCGACCTATGAACTAGGAAGTCACCCTTCGATTCCTCGTCAGAGCACATGCCCAGTTAGAGCGCATGCAGGAGGCAGCCAATCGATGATGTTTCTCTCTCCCTCCCTCTCACTTTCTCTCTGAGGTCAATAAAAACATATATATATATATTTTTTAATATATTTTATTGCTTTTTTACAGAGAGGAAGGGAGAGAGATAGAGAGTCAGAAACATCGATGAGAGAGAAACATCGATCAGCCGCCTCCTGCACATCCCCCTCCGGGGATGTGCCCGCAACCCAGGTACATGCCCTTGACCAGAATCGAACCTGGGACCTTTCAGTCCGCAGGCCGACACTCTATCCACCGAGCCAAACTGGTTTCGGCAAAACATATATATATTTTTTAAGGTTTAACCACTGCTTGCTCAACAGCCTTCAGTGGCTCCCCATTACCCCTGCCTT